ACAAGGAGCACTTATTTGTCTCCTACAAGCAAATCCCACAAAATGTAACACACAAATGACTCCATTTCCTCCTTTACATTTTGCAAAAGTCGTGCCAGCACCCCAGGATGGGGTGACAGCCCTTCCTTCATCTGAAGCAGCCAAAGAGACAGGAGATAATCGAGGGAGGGAACAGCAATGGCTCCAACACACTGCAAAACACAATTCCTCTGCTCAGGAAAGCCCCACATTCAAGGGATGGTCACATTTGGAGCCACAGATCAAAGCCTTGGCCAGTATTACCAACGTACAGACTTCTACAAAAAGAAACAAGCCCCTCACTTTGCTATTCCAGCACCAATATGAACTAAGGCATCAAGGAAAAGCTCTTCCCACCCAACTGACCATTTACTGACAAAATGGAAACGCTCTTTATCTTCCCAGCTTCTCATCTTGATTTGTTTTAATTGCAGAACAGTCTGGCTGTCCAAATAATCTCCTATCATTACATTTTTTTGGTGCTCCTTAGATGGCTCTATTATCTCCCTTTCTGGCAAATGCAGGAATGACTAGGATTCAATTAATTGGGTCTGCTGGATGGATCATCTGTTTCCCTGATAAAAGCTGGGTACTGACAGGGAACACGGTGAGAACATTTATCTATTCCAAGGATCCTTCCAATATCCTCCAAGACACTAAAGAAGGATCTGCCATAGCTGCCTGTCACGACTTATTATTTGCAAGCTGCCCTTGTTGAGCCCTGGGAGTTTTCACCTGCTCACAAATCCTGTTTGCTCAGAGGGTTCTTCCCAGGAGCATCTTTTCCCTGCCCAGCAGCTCACCTGCCACAGGACAGACAGGGATTTTACTTTCTGCTCTGGCACATCTCACTCTTTTCCCAGGAAAGCCGAGGAGAAGGTGGTGAATTCTGACACGTCTCTGCCAGAAACACTTTTTATATGCAACAGTTCCTGTACTAACAAGGGACAAACTTCCCCTGGCAGTTCAGCCACTGTCCTCATCCTCCTTTAGCAACACTGTGTCAAGGGGGCAAAGTCAGGTGAAGATTTAGAGCTTGACTCTTCACATGACAGACACTTTATAACTGAATCTAGTTTAAGAAGGTCAAGTCAGCTGTTACCTTGCCAGTTTTTGTCATTAGTTCCTCCTGGATATCCTCTCCAGCCTGGATGTGACTGCCAAGGTACGTGAACTGACTCACCCCTCACAGCCCTGACCGATGTTTGAGATGGGAGTTCCTGGGGCTCTCGTGGAGATTTCTTATTTCCCCACAGTTAATAATTAACTCCAACTCCTTTTTTATTTTTTTTTTTTGTGCTGCTGGACAGTCTGTTTTTAGTAACATCTTGCCTGAGCCATCCTTTAGCAATATTTCATCAGTGAAACCTCAATCTCCCAGAGCTCCAGGGCTCCGAAATGCCCAGGTCACACCACGGTTTTGTCCTCGCGGTGCAGCGAGTGCCAACGTGAAACAGGAGAAGGGAAGAGAGCTCTGACACCACTCTGCCTTCCCTCCCAGCGGATCCCAAAGTCCTCTGAAGGGCAAATTCAAAGCATCCCCAAGCTTTTGAAATTTTAAGTTACTTTTTTTTGAGCCTTCGCTCGACCGCGGGTTCTGTGCGAGTCACGATGTCAGTGGGAAAAAAAAAAGAGTCAAAAACCAATTTATTTTTGTGAATCGGCAAAACACCACACATTTTAATGTGCCATACAACACCTGAGCAGGTGTAAAAGGACTGATGTCTAGCTGGATGTGTGAGGAGACAGGAAGGCAGCTCCTACACTCCCTTACCTCCACTGACTCACACTGCCTGGCACTATCATCTGTTAAAGCAAGAGTGAAGCAGGGCTAATAGCTATTTACTAAAAACAGAGGAGCGTGATTAGCTTTAATTAGCATTGTCAAGTGACTTGAGATTGTCAGGTACAAGATGTGGGAGAACTAAGTCTCATTAATTATGTTATTTCCTGCAGCCTTAAGTGGCTTGGCCAGTCCAGTGACGCTTCCGGAGATGGAGCTGCTCCTGATGTCCAACACATCCCACTCCAGAGGGGAAAACACTCTCAGAGAGGCCTGGAAGATGTGGCTGTTGAGTAAAGGGTCACAGAGAAGAAGAATCAAGAACAACCAGAGCAAGAACAGCCGCTGGCCCTGACAAATGGGGACAAGAAGGCAAAATGACAAGGCAGAAAACAGACTTGGGGAGAACCAACTGCCAAACTCCAGGGAGGATGAAGAGCAGGGACCAGTGGGGGCAACAGGGAATGTGATTCAGGCCCAGGACACAGCATTTGTGGAAAACCGTGTTTTTATTCTCCTAAAAAAGACCCACTATAAAATGCCTTTGTTTTGGGAGACAGAAATCCAGATCCTCAATGGGCATCACACCACCAACACACAGGATGATTTGTGAGCTAAAAGACCTGTCCTGAAGGACTCAAAAATCCTTGAGAAGGAATAAGCCCATCTCTTCATGGACTAGCCTTGGCTTCTGGAAGGCAAAGGAAACCTGTCCTTAGCTGCTAGTTACTGTGACTAGATCTGGAAGAGAAGACCTGCAAATAAACAGGTACAGAAAAAAGGATCCTGAAGGACCAACTTACAGGTCTCTATCAAGGAGGGGGGGAAAAGAAAGCTGAATATCCTGATTTCAGAGTGATAAATAGAACCTGCTCCCCTGTTCTGCCTTGGACATCCTGACCAGCCTCAAAGCAGCCAAGAGAACTGAGTTTCTCCATTCCAGACTCCACTCAGTGACCCCTCCTGAACCTCTCTGCTCCAGCACTCCACAGTTGACCTCTAATGAAGACTCTGCTTAAGCTCAAGCAAACAAACCTCTGCCAATTAATGGCCAAAGCCCAATGAAAGCCTGGCTTTATTGGTGTCTCTTCAAGAGGCTTCCACGCACGTGGTGATGCAAGAACACGAAATAAATGGTTTTTACTCCCCTGCAATCCTTGCAATGCTTTTGTAGTACCACGGCAAGATCAAGGAGCTCCCACTTTCTAAACTGCCAGCCAGGACCTACCCAGAGTGACCAGTTCCTTAATTAAATTCTCTCTCTACAACAGGTACTCATTCCATGAGTCAAGGAGCTTTTGAGGGAATGTGGATTTACAGGTAGGGATGTTGTCTTCCTCAACACAACCCCGACTCAACTACACCCACCAAGCAGCAAAGAAAGGAAATCCCTTTTTTAAAATCTCTGAACCTGGAGGACATGAGGGAGCTCAAGGCCCAACACAGCTCTGCCAGTTATTCCAATCCTGACACTGTGAAAGATACACCTGCAAAGAAAGCTAAAAAAAAAAATAAAAAAAAAATAAGAGATGCACTTGACATCTTCATCAGATGAAAGCAATGTCTCTGCCCTCCCCAGAGCATTCCCAACGTCAGCTTCAAAGCACAACGCTCACTTGTACACGGCCTTTCAGCAGGAAACAAGAATCAGGGATCCAGGGAGAAAAGGAGAACATCTTAATTCCCTATTCCAGCACTGCAGTTACACAGCAAACAAGGTTTACAAGGAACCAGAAGCGTGGATCCAACACGATGAGAGCTCAGAGAAAATCAGTGGGAGTGCTCTGCAAGAATGAAGTCACAAAAACACATCCTTTCCAGGCAGAATCCTCTCACGGATTAGAAGTCAAGCTCCCTCAGTATCTGCTTGTTTACAACCCTCTAACTCAGCACAGGCCTCTCTGCACTGCCCAGCATAAGCTTTAAGTAACTGTAAACGCATTAGGAGAAAATCCTCCTCGGCAGCAGGAGCAGGCCCCGAGGAAGGCACTGGCAGCAGGGCAGGTGTTGTGTGTGTGTCCCTCCCTTCCCAGCTGCTGTCACCGGGCTGACAGGCCTCTGACAGGCCTTCCTCGGGCTGTATTTACACACAGAGAAAGGTGGGGGCAGGTTCGCTCCAGTCAACTGCAGGAGAAGGAGGCGAGGATTCCACTTCTTCCCCCCCCCCCCCGTTAAAATCACGTTATAAAGCGCAGAGTTTCAAATCGGTTTGGCTTAAAAAAAATAAAAAAAAAAAATCAGCGTTAAAACCTGAAGCTACGACCCCGCAGCTCGCCCCAGAGCTGCTCCCGTCACCTCAGACTTGTGGATCGAACCCAGAGGTTTCTATGGAGGCGCACAAGCCCCTCACCCTGTCACCCTGCAGGGCTCTGCACGAGAGGAGGCTGCTACACCCTCAACCAGCGGCGACAGCAGCCGCACAGCCCGGCCGAGCCACCCTGAGCCTGGTTTCGGTGCTCCATGAGCCAAAAGTACCCGGGACAAGGCCAGGAATGCCCCTTCCAGGGGCTAATCCCGGTGCCCTGTGCCACCCGTGCCGTGATGTCACCGCCGGAGCCACCGCCTGCAGCGGGCAGGGCCCGGTCTCCAGGGGCTCCGGAGTGTTGGTAAATAAATACAGAGCTGCTGCTGCTGCTGCTGGCGCTGGTGCGGGACACGGGGCAGGACCGCCCCGCACCCGGACAAGATGCTGCATCTCCCGGGGGTCCAATCGCGGGGGTCCCACCGCGGGGGTCCCACCGCGAGCCTCCCGCACGGCTCCGTGCGGGGCCACCGCGGGGGTATCGTGCGTTTACAGCGAGATGGGCGGCGAGGAAGGACCGTCCCTGCTCCTCCTCCTCCTCCTGCTGCTGCTGCTGCTCCTCGTTGCCTCCCGGGGGTCCCTCCCGTCCATCCCCAGCCGGGGGGATCCCACCGACCCGCTCCCGCCTTCTCCCGCATACAAAGGCGGCCGCTCGCCCCTCGCCAGCCCCGGGGGGCTCCGTCAGTGCCGGTGAAGGATGCGGGGGGAGCCCCCCAGGTCCAGCGAGGTGGATGGAGGGGGGGACGCGGCGACACACGGACACGGCGACACACGGACGCGGCTGTGGCGCAGCTCCGCGCAGCCACACAACCCCGGCCGCCCCGCGGGCCAGGACCCCCCAGATCCTCGGCTGCAGCCCCCCCAGCGCTGTCCCCCCTCTCCCGGTGCCTCACTCACCGCGGCCGCCCCGAGCGCGTCCCGGCGCGGAGCGAGCGCGGCGCCGCCGACGCGCACAGAGCCCTCAGCGCCGCCCCCGCCCGCCCCCCTCCGCCTCTTATACCCGGCCGCGCGGCTGAGCGGCAGCGCCGTGGGCCAATCGCCGCTCGCCGCCACATAGCAACACGCCGCCCATTGGCCGCGCGCGGCCGCAGCCCATTTACTGCGANGCTGCTGCTGCTGGCGCTGGTGCGGGACACGGGGCAGGACCGCCCCGCACCCGGACAAGATGCTGCATCTCCCGGGGGTCCAATCGCGGGGGTCCCACCGCGGGGGTCCCACCGCGAGCCTCCCGCACGGCTCCGTGCGGGGCCACCGCGGGGGTATCGTGCGTTTACAGCGAGATGGGCGGCGAGGAAGGACCGTCCCTGCTCCTCCTCCTCCTCCTGCTGCTGCTGCTGCTCCTCGTTGCCTCCCGGGGGTCCCTCCCGTCCATCCCCAGCCGGGGGGATCCCACCGACCCGCTCCCGCCTTCTCCCGCATACAAAGGCGGCCGCTCGCCCCTCGCCAGCCCCGGGGGGCTCCGTCAGTGCCGGTGAAGGATGCGGGGGGAGCCCCCCAGGTCCAGCGAGGTGGATGGAGGGGGGGACGCGGCGACACACGGACACGGCGACACACGGACGCGGCTGTGGCGCAGCTCCGCGCAGCCACACAACCCCGGCCGCCCCGCGGGCCAGGACCCCCCAGATCCTCGGCTGCAGCCCCCCCAGCGCTGTCCCCCCTCTCCCGGTGCCTCACTCACCGCGGCCGCCCCGAGCGCGTCCCGGCGCGGAGCGAGCGCGGCGCCGCCGACGCGCACAGAGCCCTCAGCGCCGCCCCCGCCCGCCCCCCTCCGCCTCTTATACCCGGCCGCGCGGCTGAGCGGCAGCGCCGTGGGCCAATCGCCGCTCGCCGCCACATAGCAACACGCCGCCCATTGGCCGCGCGCGGCCGCAGCCCATTTACTGCGAGCCAATGGGAGCGCGGGGGCCGGAGGGGGGGGGAGCGGGGGGGCGGGAGCGCGCCCCGCGCGCGCACGAGGGCGCGCGCGCGCGGCTCTTAAAGGGGCCGCGTCCGCCCGCGCGGGGAGAGGCGCGGGGGGAACCCTGATGGGGGGGGGACGCGCGGGTGGGGATGCTCGGGGGGCACCGCAGCACCACGCCATGGCCCCCGCGGTCCCGCCCCTCCCGGGGTCCCAAGGCCAGGGCTGTGGGCGCTTTCCAGTGGCTGCGCGTTATTTGCGACCATTCCCGCGCGGGTAATTGGCGTTAATAAACGGCCGTAATTAGCGGTGCCTGCTGCTCCGGGGTCGGAGCAGTTCCCAGACACAGCCCGAAAATCCACCAATACTGCCCCGGCTTCTCCGCGGACTAATTGCAAAATGAAGATATTCCGTATTTCTGCTGGAAATCTCCATCAGCTCCATCCCACGGTTTTCTCCAGCGGTGATCTCGGGAATCTTGTGCCCAAACAGCGCAGCTGTGCTCACACAGCCCCAGCGCACACACCTCTGTACCTCACACACGCAGCAAACCCCGAAAAGGGCAGGGGCACAATTAAAAGCCGCCCTCTCCGAGCACCCTAATTAAGACACGAGCTCCCAGCAGCTCCGAACGAGGTAATTTGAAGGCTTTTTGGTCCCAGCACACACAGCTCAGCATTTGAGTGCTAATAACAGTAATTCATCACTGTACAAACACAAGTTTAATAATCCCAGGCTGGTTTGGAGTGGAAAGGACCTTTAAAGCTCACCCAGCTCCACCCCAGGTTGCTCCAAGCCCTGTCCAACCTGGCCTTGGACACTTCCAGGGATGGGGCTTTTAATTAATGTTTCCTCTCTCCCCTTTCCTCACACCCAAGGATGAAAGTTCTACATCTTCTGGGCTGAAAGATATTTGCTTTATGAGTTTATTCTTGCTCTAACACTCTACTGCTTTAGCAAATTCTGAATATTTTAAGCAACCATCAGTAACTGGTAAATTCCTAGTGACTGAAATGGCAATGATCTGGTTCAAGTGTTAAATATATGGAATAATACTAAGTGAGGGGTGAGAAAAGGCAATATTTCTATTAGTTGTGATATTCTTTCTTATTACCTGTGGGTAGAAATACATCCACCCATTTGTGATATAAATGAAATCTATTTTTCCTCCATACCCCTCTGATCCCATTACTAAGCAGGTGCCAGCTGGTTAAAGGGTTTTTAAAATTTAAAAAAATGACATTTTTCCCCCTGTACACTTCAAATATTCCATTATTGAAGATTCAAGCACCCAGGTAGTCAGTAGCTGTTAAATACACTCAATAAAGAAGAAAATTGCTGTGTTGAAACTGTTGAAACTCAGCTGCACTGAACGTTTCTGGACAAGGTTATCTGCAGGAAGTGGTGACAAACTTTGCTTGAACTTTAAATCACCCAGACTTGTGGAAAGTAACCACAAGAAGCCACCAGCGAAATAAATTTGCATCATCAAGAGGCTGCTTGATGCAGAGCAGTGAAATTGGTTCTTTTCCCACCTCTGCAGCAGAATTTTCAGTTTGCTGATAAAAATACATTATATTTACAAGGTGAACATCAAGATTCTTTACATACATACAAAGGTTTCTGCTGTAAGAAGCCTGGTTTAGGGTGGTGATTAGTTGGAATTATATTGATGTAAGTTCAGCCTCACCACGGGGGGGTTCACACAGAAAAATAACACCATAAAAGGCCAAAATTTCTTCTTTAGGTTTTAAATCCACATAATTTACAAAACCTGGAAGGTTTTTAGGGGTAACAGTGCTTCGTTAGCAGCATTTTGCTGCCTTTTGAAAAATAAAATGCTGACTGGGTTAAATGCAACTTTGTCCTAGAGGTTTCAAGTCACTTTTTCACATTTGATTCTGGTCACAGAGGTTGGTTGCAAACTTTTCCAGCACAGCTT